AATGTGTGTGGACATAATTGCATGGAACAACTGTCATTTCATTAAAACAAACAAACAAATAAATAAATAATTAAAAAAAAAACAACAACAAAAACATCAATAACAAAAAGAGAAAGGAAGTATGCAGCCAAAGGAAGCAGCTAATTGCTACTTCCAAAGTCCATAGCCTTGAAATAGCTGCATATTCGTTGTTCACCACTTGGTTCCAAATGATGTGATCTCTTATTTGCTCTCCTTTTGTGTGTAAGGATTTATGTCCAGCCTGTTCTTTTAGAAGTTGGAGCCTCTTACAGTTTAGGATGCCTGAACCATACATAAGAGTTTATCGCGGAAGTACTGAGATACTCTTAACTGTAATGTTGCTTCCAGGGCTTTGTTTCTGTTTCTTATATCACTAGAAACTTTGGCAGAATTATCTCGTTGCATTATGTGTCTGTTTGTCCATTATTCTTTTTACAGAGAGTGTGAGATGATGGGAGTATTGCTATCCCTCTAAAGTGCATGTCAGAGTTGTAGAAGCTGCAAAGATATATTTGTAAATAGATAAGATGTAACAGAACCTAATGAAGGCAGCGGATATTTTCTTACACTCAGGCACACCTTAACTGATAATACTAGGTATTAAATTCACAAGTGGCTGCAGTAAATTTCAACCCCCCATTTTAATGGAGGGATTGTGCCCTCCAGGTTTCAAAGCACAGCCACACTTTTCATTACAAGCTCAATTTTATGTGGTAGAAACAAAAAGTAAACATTCACTGACTGTCCTCCATCAAGTGATTAAATGTTCAAGCGTGAAGCATTTGCTGTGAATTGTTCCCAGTTGCTGGGTTTGTCATAGTGCCTTTGCTTATTTGTGATTGTATAGTGAAAAAATTGGAGATATCTAGGTAGGTAGGTAAAATAGGATTGCTTCACAGACATTTTTATGTTTGTCTTTTATGTTTCTGTTACGGAGGTGATGACTTTTGGTCTCTTTATTTTTATTTTTTGGAATCAAACGTATTTGCAGAGGCTGGATTTTCAAAAGCAAGATCCATTGTAAGCAAAGTAAATTGAGAAAACAACAAAACCATTTACAGAAAAAAAAATGGTACAGCTGGAGAGAATGTCTGGGCTCACTCACTCTGAGAGGGATGTTTAGAGTTTTTTTATTTTATTTTACTGTTTAAGCAATTTTTGCTAGTGTTACGTTAGCTTAAATTCATAAGCTTATCAATTTGACTCTAGCTTACTAAAACAGATATATAGACAGATACATTCTAAAGCGATCCAACTGCTCCTTTGATTCCAAAGTGTATGTAGTTAAGAGGCCAGTGACCTAAAGTTCTGTTTTTTTTCCACATTGTTTTCTTTTCCTTATGTTCTTATGTAGTCATTTTCTTATTGAAGCTGTCATTTAAAAAGTTGAACTTGAATTCCTTTTGAAGCATAAAGCTGCTGTAAGTATTGTATATATATTATTATATTATTATTGGTTTTTTTTGGTCTTATTGAAGTAACACTTTCTGTAACATTGTAAAGGAAGTGGATGCAGGAAAAAAAAAATATTGTCAGGCCTGTTTTCCACACAGACATCTTATAATACCAGTGACATGGGCCATTGTAGCACACACGTTTAATGGCTTCAAGAGCTAATTTGAATACCTGGTTCAGTATTTGAACTGAATATGAATATATTCACGTTTTCTGTAAATAGTGGCACTCTTTCAGGAAGGAAAGGCAGGATGTTTGCTTGTTCTGCACCATATTTGTGGCTGCATTGCCAATATAAACAAGCCATAGCTTGTAGTGAGTTCTTCTGGAATTTGTCCTCAGATCTCTGGAATGCAACAGGTAAACTGCACAGAGCAGACTGGAAACATTTAAAGGGTTTCTGTGGGATGACCCATGTCATGTTTCCTCTGTGAACTTTTTCAGGAAATCAAATGAATATGAAACCGTTGGGGGAGGGGCATAAATTTAACATTCATCATCCTTACAGATCAATAAAACAGAAAACCTTGACTGTAGTGTCTGCTGCATCATACTTAAGCAGAGTAATGTGTTTCATATAGCTAGAAAGAATCTACAAAGATGATGGCTGTGACAGACATTTATTCTTATTCAGCATTTAAGGACAATTAAAGAAGGAAGTGCAAAAATCTAATTAATCTTGAGGCAAGTCTGTTTGCATACATAAACAGTCTTTGGGGTCTTATATCTCTCTTCTATTTGTATTTACTCCTTCCTCAAAGATAACTTGTATGCCAAATTGGTTGTTTAAAACTGGTTGTTTGGATGCAGGTGCGCTGCTGTAGTACAGGGATGTTTTAAATTTATTTTGAACATTGAAAGAGACTCAATACAGATCTTGACTTATTTATGCTGTCAATATTTTGTGAAAATTAGAAGTTTTCAACAGATTTTACTAAAAACAATTTCCCAGTTTTTGAACATCTCTAAATACCACGTTTGTAGTTCACAATTTACCTAAGGTTATAGGAAAGTGTATTTCATGCTTGAAATACAGTGTCACCATGTGCAGAGCCAGATGCTGCCACAGTCTAAATGGGAAAATATGTACTCCACAATATCTTAGGCTATGAGCACAGGCTGCACTTCTTGACAAGAAGGAAGAAGAAGGAAAGTTTGCCTCTAACAACTACTGGTAAGTTTTTGCCTGCTCACATTGATCATAGGCCAGATTAGGGATGGTTATGGATACATCTTCATTTCTGACTTCCAGAACTTTTGGTGTTCTCCTCCTCACCCCCAGGAGTTAGGCACACATTATTTTGGTATCATATAGCTTTTTTTTTTCTTTTTTGCTTTTTTTTTTTCTTTTTTCTGGAAACCCTTTCCAATGCCAATATGTACTCACTAATGCTTTCAGTTCTCATTCTTCAGATTTCTGGAGTACAACTTTTATTAAAAACTAGAAAATATATTCCAGAAAGGTCTCCTCTGATTCTTAGCTGCAAAGATTTCTTTCAGATTGTATGTTAATTGCTTAATAAAGGCTTTTTATATAATCTCCAAAACATTATTTGCTGCTCACCCTTGAAGGTACTGCATCAACTGGACTGTTGTTCAGATCTCAGATACTTGAATTACATTTCTGGTTCTAAGATACATCTTGTTAATTCTCCCATTCCCAGTACAGAAGCAGAGAGAGAGCTTTTATGATCCAACATAATCATTTTAAAACAACTTTTTGACTAGTAACTATCTACAATGATTTCAGTTTTCTTTGTACTAATCCCAGTGACCAAGATCTGTGCTAAGAGTTGCCTTTTTGTTTCCTTTTGCTTAAAAGTGTTTTTAAAGACCATGTCTTATATTTCAGTGTTCTGTACTTATAACTATTAACTACGGTATTATTCCAAGTTCTGTTTTAGGACATCTGTTGTCCACTTTGTGGGGTAATCTATTTTTTTTTCCAGTGTGATGATGGGGGCTGCCGGTATTATAAGTATTATTTTAAGCTTTCTGTAAAAACTCAGGTTTGTCTTCATCATTACAGTGTTTATCTGACATGGTCAAATAACTGCATCACTTAACACTTAGAAACTAAAGCTGATCATCAGGCTTTTGGTCTAACAAACCCTTCCTTTTTGATGTTGATCTTTTGATAAATACCTTGTTTCTCCCATTGTTTCTAATATTCTGGTATTTCACCAAAAAGTTTTCTTTTCTTTCTTTTCCTCTCTGATTTCCCAGGAGGTAAAGATGGCATATTTTTATATAAATTATATATCAGAAATTTGCTGATGAGATTGTGGTATGTATGTTTGTGCCCAGAGGGATTATTTTTGAGCTAGATGTTTCTGGATCAAATTACAGGATAGGCACCAGATGGTCTGGAATTATTCTTTGACAGTCTATAGATAACTAAACATTCAGCAAAAACTACTCTGTTTTTAAAACCAAGCACAGTCTTTCACAAAAGCAACATATAGAGTTTTAGCTTTCTTTCCATAATTTATATATTTGCTTTTGTTACCTTACTTAGTATTTTTCCTTGCTGGTTCTTGCATCTATTTTAGTAGCCTCTTCTCTCCTGTGATACAGGGGCTGGTAGGTGCCTGGTATGCTACCTTTCAGTCAAGAAAAGAACTAATAATATTTTTGTGGGCTATAGTTTTTTATCTTTTTTTTTTCTTTTTTTTCTTTTTCTAAATTACTGTGAAGGGAATAATAGTAGGATAGTGATGTGGCCTGCATTTTAAGCAATCTCTACTTGCCAGTAAGTATCATGGGACAAAGAGAGAGATGGATCTGTGCCCCAGCACCATGCTACAGAAGGTGAAACAGATTGCAAAAACTGTACTAATTTACTTTTATGGGACTGATTTTAGGTTAAAATATAATTCAGTTACATTCTGGCTCAGACTAAGCAGTGCCTTGAAAACAATATTCTCCTTTTTTGTTTCTGAATGTGAACCACTGAAGTTGCTACCTCTGCAGAGTAGAACTTCACAATCCTGTTTGAACCTGTAATTCAGCCTGACAGTTCTGACTACCTGTAGTCAGAGACACATATCAAGGAATAAGCATTTGCAGTCATCTCTTAGGGGAGCAGGTTCTGGTCGTTAAGAGATAGAATCAAATCTGAATTCTCAATGATATTTTTCTCTGTCACACAGATAAATCAGTATTAAGGAATACCCACTATCTATTAGACAGTGGAGGTTATTAAACAATATCATTTATTCAAATCTGGAAGCATTCTTTTAGAAGTTCTGCCAGTCTCGAATTTAATGGCCACGGTGCTGTCGACATATTTTTGTAACACAAAAATGAGCAAATACTAGCAAAAAATAAGAAACATTCTTTCTGCTTCTTAGACATGTCCAAAGATTGTTCATAGTATTGTCGTACTGTAACTCCTTAAACAAAGTTTGACTTAAATTGTTAACTCAAAATATGATTCAATAAACATTAGTCTTCTACAGAGTTAAGACCATGCTTATTATACATTCTGCTGATCACCAACCAGCACGTTCTTCGGTTCTTAGGATTAAGCTTCAGAAGCAGATATTGGATCCATATCATCCTGTGTTTTTTGCACGGAAATGGCCAGGTAAGTTAAGAAAATAGTTACCAAACCTCATAACAATGAAGTACAAATATCCAAAAGCCTGTGTAGTGATTGGCATCTAGCATGCTGCTTCTGAAATCTCAGGTCTCTTCATGGTATTTTGCTGAACTTTGAAATATGTGTGCACTGGGAATAACACTGTCACTTTGGAACTTGGTGAGTGCATGATCATCCTTCAAATACTACCTTAAGTTTTTTTACTAGTATTCAGAAATTTTCTTACTGCTAACATATTTATTTTAATGTCACACTTCTTTGTCTGCTGAGTGTTCATACCTGTATGAATTATGTTTGCTGAACCAGCAGCAGTTGTTACAGAGCTAGAGAATGGTACAGAAGAATGCTCCCAGCATGTCCAGAAGACCTTTGAAACTAAGACAGTTTTATGTGACAGCTGCTGATGTTAATGGTGATATCAGCAGGGATGCAGCTGTAAATGAAAATAAAGGAAAGAGGAATTTTGGGGTTTATCTCTTTTGGAATGTAACTTTCCAGAGACATTCAAGTAGCTCCTAGAAATATGAATAGCGTACTGCTGGGTTTATCTTTTTGGACAAGTGCTTAAATATGTATTGAATTCTGAATGCAATGTTACCACCAACTTCCCTTAGACTTCCTGTCTTACTGAAGCTAGGCAACTGTCTCTCTTTAAAAGAAGTGAGGCTTAAAGAAAAATTCCTTTGTGAGTCGGGGAGATGGTTAGGTGCTGCCTTGAAAATATTTTTTCATTTGCAGTTGATGATTGGACATAAATTGACCATATTAGTCAAGGACACAAAGATTTCACTTTGTTGCACGTATATTTACTCAGTTATCAAGATCAAGTTACTCACATTTTAAATATTTATAAATGATTTTTAAAAGTGCCTTAATACATTAAAAAAAAAAAATACACCTTGTAAGTGAAAGTTACTTTTTATAGTACTTTAGTTCTGGAGGCCTTTGGGGCCACACTATAGCAAAGGAAAGTTAGCTTTCAACAGTTTTTTCTAAACTATGGTTTAAAGCATATTCAAGTCACTGAGAGACCTCCTGCTGACTTGGGAGTCCAGAGGCTACATGCTGTACTAGGAGTTCTTTCAGGTTTGACTGAGCGAGTATTTAACTGGAAGAAAAGTGAAGTTTGGCAGCAACTAGAAGCAAATTCAGACTTACAGACATATGCAATACATTGTTTTCAGTGTAATTGAACAGAAGCTGGACTTAAGCTTTCTGGACTGCTCAAGGTGTTTTGTTCAAGTTGCCTTTTAATAAAATATCACATACATAACATCTTGGAAAAGCTAGTCAGGCAAGATCTGAAAATTTATGATTCTTTAGCCTAAAGCATATTTTAATCACTGATCTTTGGAACAAATTCCATTGTAAATAAAATATAGCAGTGATGTATTATGAAGGCAAAAAAAAAATAAAAAATCAGTAGTACAGTGGTAAAGCAAAAAGTTAAATAAGCTTTTGTTTTCAGTAAAATAGATTTTCTCCCCGCTGAACGGGGAGAAATGTGTGAAAGAGCTTTCTGTTGGTTCACAGAGTATGGTCAGTAAATGGCTTTAAGCAATATGAAGCACTGAAAAAAGCATTCTTCTGGATACAGGCAAGCAAGGCAGGATTTTCAGCTAATCTTTGGATGTTAGGAGCCAGTGCCCAGGATTTGCTGTATCAAATACATGGTAAGCATTGGCAAAAGACAGAAAAAATCAAAACCACAGCAGTACAGTGTATTGAGTTTTATTATAACTCTTTATCTTTAGGAACCAGAATGGGGACTTAATGGCAGGCAGGAAAGAGGAATGTCACTTTTTAATCAGTTCACTTCCTGTCATGGCCACGCATGTCAAGGAAGAAGTATGATATTCAAATGATTTGTGAGAAGAGAACAGAAAGTGTCTCTGTCTCCAGGTCTCAGATAGTTCAGAGAAAAAGCTAGGAAAGCTAGAACAGCTTTTTAAGGGAATGGGGGAGGGATAGGGGTGAAGGTAGGTTAGAAAATAAAATTCTGAAACTGCCACTGCCAGGTCTGGTTCAATATGCTGCATCACTTATCTAGTTCAGACCTTGTTTATTTGTATTGATTGTAAAATCAGCGTCCTGTATGTATAATAACTGATTTCCAAAAAAAGGTTTGCTCTTTTTGGTACAAATGCCCTGTGGGTCTATGATGATAGCTGCTGTCCCAATTTACAAGTGACATGTCTCCAGTACGTATTTTTAACTGTTAGTCTCACAGTTGAACCCCACAGCAATACTGCCAAGTGCATCATTGCAGGTAAAAATGGTTGTGTTGTGCCTGCAATGGCATCTGTCATTGTTGTTGGCTGTGCCTGCAATGCAAGTGCTTAGCTGTAAGGTTAATGGTTGTCAGAATTGTAAGATTCTTACTTTTTTTTTTTTAATTGTTAAAAATTGTAAGCTTTAAGTACTGTGAAGCTGTAAGTGTTCCGGATTTGAGAAGTTCTACTGTAGTATGAGTAAGTGTAATATACAATAAATGTTTGTTCATTGTCTTTTGTATTATAAGGACAAGGAGTCCTGCTTGAAGAAGTGGGGGTAGTAAAGGTCTCCTGCTGAGATAAGAAACCGTAAAATGCCTGAAATTCCTTTACTTAATGTAACAAGATAGGGCCCTTAAACCGGTAAGGGGGAGGGAGTTTTCTCCCCTTCTCCCCCCTTGCATCCTAGTTCCATCTTTTGTTTAAAGTCACTGTTGCAAAGCTCCTGTAACCATTCCTGATAAGCTGCTGAACCAGCATGATAATGTTCTGCCTTCCTGCTTCATGCTGGGTCAACATGACCTAGTGAGGAAAGGGAGTCGAGCCACAATGCAGAGGAAGACTACGGCCTTCATCTTCACGACCACCAGAGAGACTGGGACGACCCCCTAGCAACAGTGTGTGCAGCTACAGAACATACCTGGATGTGCTGCGTAATCCCGGAATTACTAAGATATAAAAAGGGACCCTGGCGGGGGTGAGGTACGCGCCATTGGCGGAGCCGACTCCCCGGCCACCCAGCGCTGTTTTGCTTGCTGTTTTCATAGAATCATAGAATCATAGAATATCCTGAGTTGGAAGGGACCCTTAAGGATCATCAAGTCCAACTCTTGACACCGCACAGGTCTACCCAAGTTCAGACCATGTGACTAAGTGCACAGTCCAATCTCTTCTTAAATTCAGTCAGGCTCGGTGCAGTGACCACTTCCCTGGGGAGCCTGTTCCAGTGTTTTCTTACTCAATACATTCTTTTATATGATTAATACAATGCCCTCTAAAAATTAATTCAGGGGCAACTTATAACAGTAAGTACAACATATTTCTTCAAAATACGATGAATTTGTTATGCAGACATGTCTACAGCTGTAACTCAGGTGAATTTTAGTAAGGGAAGAATTTTAGTAAGGGAAGTACGCTCAAAAGGAAACATTCTTGGATAAGCATTTAAATTAGTTATTCAGGAGTCAGTAATGGAGTTTATTATCAGGCAGTCCACACTTGCTTCGTGTTTATATTTGTACCATACGTACAACTGAAAAGGCCTTACTATTAGATTTGCAACGTGTAATGCTAATGAGTCTTATGAGAAAATGCTACAAATTTATATCATGTTAGTTAACATGATTTAAAAGGCAGAAAAAGGTCTCAGGAGTTACTAGTTTAAAAAAAATGCAGAAAGGGATGTTTTAGTAAAACTGCACTTCCTGTGGGTGTTAAAATATTACTGTATTGGCTAGGGTATTCCAGTAAATCTTAGTGAGGCTAGAAGTCAGAAGCTTACTGTTATGTGGTGCACTTGCAGTGAATCTTGTCAACTGTAAATCCAAGTTCTATTTTTTTAAAGGTCAGAACTGCCAGGAATCATCGGTACACATGTTAATAACTTTCATTGTTTCCATTGACATTGAAAAAAAAAGATACAAATCATGGAGTGTTTCCAAAATTAGATATAGTATTACTGTCTCATAGGTCCTTGAGTCTCTCCTATGAGTCATTTATATTTGTGCGTGTCTGTTCGCATCAGTACAAATAGAACCTCTACTTGCATTCCATTGCAGATGAGATTGAGGAATTGAATTAAACAGGAAGGGTGCGTTTTAGTCCATGCACCACTGTCATTTTAGCCTTATTGTTAGGGGAGTGGTGGCTGTGCAAAACATCCTCTGAAAGATAATTGGATAAATGCTTCTCATCCCTGGTGGGGCTGAGCTTTTTAACTCAGCTGTAACTTCATCCTACTGATTAAATTTATGTCCTCCTCACTGAGCAGAAAAAGGCTTAATAACAGGGTAGTTTAAAACATTGTCCAGATACAATGTACAAAACCAACAGAAATGAGAAATAAAATGAATGAGAGATGTTTTCTGCTCCTCCCATCTTTGCACTTGAGTTTCTTTAATCATGGTGCGCAAATCTCTGCCCAGGGTTGTCCAGCACTCCAATTTGTGGGAATAGACCCACAAGTAAATCTGTCAAACCTTATGGACAATGGACAATGTTTTAACTGAGGAGGTTAAAGTGAGATCTCTACCCAAAGACCTCTGAGCCACAGTTTTCAACTAGGTCATGAACTGCCCATCTGGATTTTCTAAAAATGATTGGTTTACTGCTCTGAGCTGGACTGATAAGAGCTGTCAGCCAAAATTAGGGTAAAGTGGAGGTACATAATGGCCTTCATAATGTTGCTGGTTTAAGAAGGCATAAGCATCTCGCTATTGATCCATGAACATTTAAATAGTGATTGTGTTTGTGGGCCGCAAGGTGTTTTGAGGGTTGGTAGAAAACATCGGGGAAATATTACTGTAGGGTATTGGAATAGCAGCTTATGAGTGGGTTGTCCTTTAACACTGGCAGTGTGATTCTGAAAGATGTATAATACACTCTTGTGAACCTCAGGAGGGGGGAGAAAAAAAAAAAAAAAAAAAAAGCTAATCTACTTCGAACTACTTATATAACCATTAGAACTAGAATTATGTTCTCTGAGTTGTCTTAGACATCCAGAGTTTGTAGATGCACTATCTCTGTTTCTGGAAATTGTAACTCTACCATTTATGCCTTGAAAAGCTTTATAGTAAATGAACAATAAGCCCAGAAGTTTTCATTCTCAAATGATGAAGAGCATGGTATCGTAACTATAATGTGTATGTGCTATGGATATCCAGGATCTCTGAGGCACGTGCCCTTCATGAAGTATACTTACTGTATAGCGCTATCCGATCAACAGTATAGCCTCATCTGTCTAGAAAGGTAGCAAAATACAGTAATTTCCCTCACTTGGCCTGGATAGGACTAGGGAAAAAAACATGTCTACAGTAGCTAGAAACAAACAAAAAAGCTGTCTTTACCGTAGTTTCATGTAACTTAATTCTATACTTATTTTTTTCCTTGTGGTTTAAGCTTTAGCTTTTATGAACCGAATAGTTAAACATAAAACTGATCTAAAGTTGCTGTGCTCTGCCTGCCATAAATCTGTCTTCAGTGATGACCATTGAGCTGAATGTCAGAATGGGAAGCTAGTTCCAACCTTGCCCATACAAGGCTCGTTGGGAGTGTCACAGGTATTTCAGCCTGGCTTTTTCTTTCAAATTATGTTTAGCAAAATACATCTAAATGTGTTTGCCTGCAAACTGGAAAAAATCATGTGTTTGCAAAGGTGGAGCTTTATACACAATGGTAGGCTGACTCTCATGAGCTAACTTTCTGATCGTTTTGAAGTATTGTATAATTTTGTTCTGAATGTGCATCTGTATGCACAGCACTTTTCTCAACTCTTTTCTCGAGATTGTTTCTCTTTATGTATTCAGTTCTTAATAATTTCATAGTCTTCGAGATCACCAGCTCCTGTTAAAGTCATCTAGCTTGACTTGTAATGCAGGCTGGAGATCCATGAAGATTATTTTCTCTGTCAGGTATTCAACTTCTGTACAAGCATTGGGTCACCTCTTTATAAAGAACAAAATGTTTACTCACAAGAAAATCTAAGCAAGTTGTTTCGACAGTTGATTAACATTTCCGAAAACTTTTCATTTTATCTATAATCCAAGCATGATTGTTTTTGTCTCTGATCGTATTTTTTAGTACTTCACATACCTTTTAAAACTAATCCTTTTGTAGGGTATGAACTTCATGGGAAATGATGGCTCTTAAAATTGTGTTCTCACACATTATCTTAAAAATCTAAAACTTTGTCCAAAGTTCTGGTATTTGCATACTGAAAATCTGGGTTAATTTTCTCTTCCTTGCAGTTTTTAGTGGATAAATAAACCTCTGACACTGGTAAAATTTTACAGTGGAAGGAGATTTTTTTTTAAAATGCCTACAATAGCTAAAAAAAAAAAAAAAAGTAGATAAAAGTTGTGATGAAAAAACTACCCTTTAGCAGAGACCTTTTTATACTGAGCCTTAGCCTGGAGCACATTTTTATAGCTAAGTTACAAACCTGTACAACAGTGTTTCTCATAAAGCAGAGCCAATGATCTACAATAGCTGAAAACAGACTTTATGGCCTAAAACATCCTAGAATTGGTTTGAATTGCCTCATGCATATTTTCAGCACATAAATTCTAGAGTTATGCGAAGTTTCCCTGGCTGTTTGATTCTCTGGGGGATGTATTTTGAGTGACTGATGACTACTTGTTAAATTCAGCAAAATTAATTCCATTCATAAACACATTTCAGGTGAGGAACTCTGGAATCATCTTTAAGAAGCATTATTCTTTAAACAGAAAGGGAGCCTGTTTTATTTAAAATACTCGCTAGTCATGTAAGTCACTATCCTGATATCACATCACAAAAACTGTAGATATGGAGAGGACCTTGTTTGTCATACACTGCTCATTTTCTTCCTCATCCAGATGTTCTCTCTGTTATTGCTTTGCTACTGACTTACTTATTTAAAAGCTTCTGATATTTAAACCACTGTTAAATTATGAAAAGGTAGATTTAAATAAATAGGATGCATAAAATGGGGGCTCATTCAACTTCAGCTTAGACAGCTAATTGTTCACTCAGGCAGAATTTCCACTAAAATCAGTTCAGCTGAGCAGTGTTTAGCTCAAAAATCAGGTTATCTTAAGTAGCAAGTGAAAAACCATGCCCTGCCCTAGGAAAGCTGTTTTACTGTGCTCATGCCATTGACATGCAAAGAAAACAAAGCCAAAATCCTATTTCTGTTTTAGCTGGGAAAAAAAAAAAAAAAAAAAAAAAAAAAGGAACAAGGAACATTTCCTACTCTTTGCCTTCCCAAAACAAGAAGAAACATCAAGGGACATCTCTTCCCATTGAATTTCATAGCCTTTGTTCAGTTTCACATCTCAGGCCTCTGGGGATGGGAGAAAACAGGCCAAGCCATACCAAAACAAGTCTGGACAATTGCCTGCATGCCCAGAGAGTGCCCTGCCAGCTGGTGCCTGTGGCTTGCTGGTGGGATGAGCCGGAGGGCAGATCCTGCCAGAGCACAGCTGGGAGCTGTGGGGCTGCTGGGCTGGCCGTGAAGCGAGCCCATGCATAGTACCCCTGCTATACCCCCTCATCAGGACCTAGGCAAGCAGGGCTTGGGCACTTTTTTTTTTTTTTAATTTATTATTTTTTTTCCATGAGGAAAAAAATCTATTCCAAGTTGGATGATTTCAATATGTCTGTAATCGACTGGGATTCAGGCTAAGATGGTGACAAGGAAGGGAGTGGTATTGTCAGTTACTTTTAATGAAACTTTTTCTGTGGCAGATCAGAGATATGAAACCACAAATGAGACTGCCATCTGACAAGGCTTTGCCTGCAAATGCAATGTTATGAAGCTAAGCTTTCAGTGACACTCTCTACCTCGGGCTACGGGCAGATTAAGCAATCATTTCTATTGCTATTGACATTGATGCAGTATTGTCTCTTTTTCATATCTTCTATATGCCTTGTCAGTAAAAATATAATTCCCTTCAGAATCACCCAAGGTGGTTCTACGAGACATCGGAGGGATGGTGAGTCACTTTCCTTGCAGCAGAGTGGCCACTTGTGGCTGGACTAGCCAGTGTCCAGGGTACTGCTGATGTTCTGCATTGATGACACGAAGAGC